GCTGGCTCTCCCTGCATGTCCTCCATACAGTCACAGCTTCAATGGTAAACTCTTGTCACCTGACACCACGACAAAGGCAACCAATAACAGCTAACCAGTATTGATGGGCCACTTGTGAAAAAGCACAGCAGCCGAGAGTTACACCGCCACTAACAATGTCAAACCACAGACAGAAGATAAATGGTATCGACGCCATGTTTAGCAGGAAGAGGACAGAACAACATAGACTGTGGCAAATGACATTCTTGTGCAAACAGAGCGGTGTAGAGAGCGACGCTGACGGGCCCTCTGCTCTAGCTAAACAGAGCGGTGTGGGGAGCGACGCTGACGGGGCCTCTGCTCTAGCTAAATAGAGCGGTGTGGCGAGCGACGCTGACGGGGCCTCTGCTCTAGCTAAACAGAGTGCTGAGGGGAGCGACGGCGACCACCGTTAGCTACAACAGACCCCGAGCCGGGTTGAGAGAGTGACATGGTGCGAGTGCTTCACGTCAAATCACATCTGTTCCAAAGTGAGCCCTGTCCAGACTCTTCCTCCGGTTCTCTCTGAGAAACCCCGTCACTCCTGCTGCTATCCCTCATGGATATGAAGACAATTACCATTTTTCTGACTAAATCAATACCAACTTTACTGTATCCTCAGCAGTGATGTAATCAGAGTGGACTAACATTATTACTGCTGCAGTAAAGTGCTCAGGGTGAAGTTTAATGTGTCAAAGTCAACATAGAGATTATTATATGAAGGAGCTCCTGATGGAACTCATGAACAGATATGTACAAACACAAACTGCCCCTGTCCACTAAACCTACTAGTGATGTAACGGATCACTGTCGATCCGTTATCCGTATGGATCCCTCTCACAGTTCGGCACGCATGTGAACCGGGGATTAATGACACAGTTTAACGTTAACCATCACTTTGTGAAATAAAGTTTTATTGACGATTGTTACCCACCGATAAGTAAAATATGAGATCAGGACATCATTTATGATTTTCTCTGGACTCTGATAATGTTACATTGTAAACAACCAATCGGTGTTTAAATCAGCAGGAGGAGAGCTAGTAACGTTAGCAGCACCGCTAACGGCTAACCAATGGAGGTTCCGTTCGGTTACATTATGATGTGTTCAGGCTCTGTTTAGTGACGTCTTCTCGTAAAATGTAGTTTTGGTGAGAAACTTGAATAAATCCAGTAGATTGAAGATGTTTTCACATGAATATAAAATAGATATTAGAGATGAATTATGAGCTGTTTAACTTCCTAAGAAGATTATGATACATCATTAAAACTAATAATGACATTTGTTTTAATCCATAAAAATACATCTTTTATTTCCTTATCATTTGGATTGTGTGTTTTTATGAAGAAAAAAACATTATAAATTACTATAGCAAAGTATATTATTTGTTCATGTTTTACAGACTTCAGAGTCATTGAAATGATTTTTGGGATGGTGGCAAAAAAATAAAAGTCTTGATCCTTGTAGACCAGCTGCTATAATCAAACAACAAAGGGATCTGTATCCAATATGGATCATCAATGATGGGTAATTTGTATTAGCAGCATAAAAACGGGAACAGGGATCTCTAAAAGTGATATTTGCTCCCTTTTTTCTTTTGCGCTGATCCGATCTGTGACCGTGATCCGATCCCAACCGTAAGTTTTAAGATCCGTTGCACCACTAAAACCTACAAACTTGCAAATTTCCCCGCTGTGGGATTAATAAAGGATTATCTTATTTTATCTTATCTTACACACACATACAGACAGAGTGAGAGGTCATTCCAACGTCAGGCTGAAATCTTCTCCATGTCTCCACGTAAACAAACAAGCGTCTGTCTGACAGTCTCGACCCCTGTGGCCTCCACAGCCCAAACAGCACCCTCCTCCGTTCCCTCACTTGGAGCTCCATCTGCACTCTGCAGAGCCACGGGGGAGCACAGAGACCCCTCACCAGAGGTGAGACGAATCAGTGTTTGGTTTCTGTTGAACAAACGTTCACCTTTTAAAGTTCCATTCCTCGGAATTATTAGATGAAATTATTTAGTTGTGGCAACTGTACATTCAAAAATGTTATTGTCACATTGTCTTAAAAGGAAAATCCCGTATATGAGATGGCATCAGGCCATTATTAGAGGGGATGACTTGTGACAAAAGTCCCTCAACAGACTCCTCCACCAGGACCCCAGACGGGTTTCCTGTAGATGCACCAGTTGTAGTTTTCTTAGCTGAAATCTGACCTGCCCATTCTGATTTTCCTTCTGAGAACTATATTTGACAGCAAGGCTCCAGACTTTTCTCACCACCGTCCTGGAAATATCATTCCAACTGTCCTGAAGTCAGTGTTAACCGTCAAAAGTTCTACATGTTATTCCAGCTATAGCAGTTATTTGCATAAAAACACACAATTCAAATGAATCGGAAATAAAACATTGAATTGGATTGATAAAAATAATCTTGTCATTAGTAGTTTTAATGATGTATTATAATGTGCTTAGAGCTATTGTTAAGAAGTTGAACAGCTCATAATTCATCTCTAATATGTATTTTGTGTTTTTGTGAAAACATCTCCTTCAAACAAACTGGATTTAATCAAGTCTCTCAGCAAGAACTACAAGATTACATTTAAACTTGATAGCTTTACAATGTACCTCTGCTGAATACTCATTTATACTGATAGAGCCTGAACACATCATAATGCAAGTCACTGCAACCCCCGTTAACATCAGCTGTTTGGCTCCTTTATCAGCAGGATTGTGCTATAGAGAGATCTGTGCTGTCTGCAGACGGGCCCGTCACTGTGATGACTCTCAGCATGAAGGGAATAAATTACAATATAAAACAATATCATATAATAAGTGTACAAACTCCATGTTACACAATGTTGAGTGAACAAATACCCAGTTTACATGTGCTGGTCTAAATATCCTCTGTTTCTGCATGAACGTTTTCTAAAAGCTATATTTATATTTTTCCAGCAGACAACATAAACTAATACCACCAAAGAACATATTGGGGACTCCACTCATTCTCCTTCTTTCTGACTGTTAGATCTGCATCAACATCAGGAGGTGATTAGCCTCTTTAGCTTAGCATAAAAACTGGTAACCTCACTCAAGACACGACTACAATCACATAACTCCCGCTAAGACCACAAACTTCTGCACTTCTGTGCGAGTACAAATGAAACAAAGATACAACTAGTGAACTTTAGAGGTTTTAGCACAACCTCAGCCCCCACCTGGAGGCTCTGTTTGCTGTCAGCAGTGGATGGGGAGAGGATGCAACGCTCACTAAACGCATCTTCAAAAGCATCTCAGAAAGAAAAAGAAAGCAGCATAAATACAGTGATGGAACACTTTAGGGTGTAATGCACTTCCTGTAACACGCACCACCTCTACATAAACAGAACAAATCACATGAATAAAATAAAGCATACAAATATGTACTGACACATTGGGTTTATAGACGTTTAGATTTGTTCCATGATGTTGATCTAGAATAAACGGGAGGAGGAATGTGGTGTACTCATATAAATATTGCAGATGTTAGGTAACTGTCCAAAGGTGTAAAAGTAGACAACCTCTTTAGGGTTGTAGACGAGGTCCCCGGGTCAGTGGAGTGGTGGAGTTAGCTCACATAAAGGTTTAAATCTACCTGAGCACAATGCACTACACCCCAAGAGAGAGAGCAGCTGGAGCTGGCTTATCTGCAGCAGCCATCAGCTCCTGTGGATGTGACCGAGGTGGTAGTGAGCTCCCTCTGGGCCGACGCAGGAGGGTCACACAGTTCCCAAAAATCTATTTAAACTGTTGTTCACTTGAAGGAGGTCCCATTACTCAAAAGTTTTAAGAATGAGGTAAAAAAATCAAGGGTCCGCATCGTATGAACTAAATTAGTTTTGCATTGCCGTACCAACATTCAGCCCAAAAAAACACGGAATCATATCCTCCAACAACCACAAGCTATTTCCATGCTGATTCAGAAGAGGTATGACTGATATTTCCTCTCTCTACCGGGCCGTAAACACACGGGGTTCCAAGGTGCATATATTAGTGGCTCACATGGCGCGGTGCTTTTGTTAAGCAGCTATGCTGAAGCTAATGCTAATGCTAATGCTATAAGATGGCTAAGATGGCCAATGAATGGATGAACGCTGGTATAGTAGCTTGTTGCAACGTGCCACTGAATCCACATGTTGGACGCTCAGTGGAACAGGTTCAGGTTCATAGTCGGGATGGTTTTACCCTGCACTCTACTGAATTACATGTGTGGCATCCAAAGGAAGTATTTCAGCTTTTGTTGACCTATTAAGTCCCAGGAGTTAAGACCACACAGATCAGGACTAAAGCAAAGCCCCTAACAAGCACAAACCCCCAAAGGTATCCCTGAGAAATCCCTCTTTCTTACTTTATTGAATCATGAGGAATACTAATGCAGCTAGGCCGGGGCACATCTCACAATATGTAATAAAATACCTCTACATCACGGTGATACTGTAGGGTTGACAAGAGGTGCCTTTTATGAATATTTACACACTGAGTTTTTTGATGAATAATCATCAGTAATGTGGATATTTTCACTAAGTGGGTAAAAGCAAATAATAGGCAGTCTGGTAAGTAAACGACTTTACTGTAATGCAGCCTTTAAACCCAGGAAACAACAACACTTATGCCATATGACGATATCTAATATCTAACACATGTCGTCTCATGTCAACCACATCTTAATCAAATATTGACAAATCGTCAAGCCTTACATGTGTCGGACAAAAAGCTTCAAGCAAGGACTGACCCCCCCCTACTGTAATATCAGACCTACAGCCAGAAGGAGAGGAGGGTTCAGCTGAACCCACCCCAACACACCGCACATTGACATCACATGGATAAGAGGCATACGTCATGCGGCATCACATCCCCCCTCAGATGTGCAGCTTCTGTCCAGAGCAACAAGTTGAGAGAGAAAAAACTACAGTGAAGGGAAAGAAAACAGGTGACTTACCCGACTTGCGCTTGGAGCCATAGTCCCTGAGGGAGAAGCAACACAGGAGGGACATAGTTAGTGACAGAGGATGCTGCTCGGGCAACAACAAAGCTCTCCTGAACCACCGCACTCACACAACAACATGAGCATGCAATCGGCTTTAGCTCACTAACAAATGCTTGTGTGTGAGGGAGAGGGAGAGAGAGAGCGAGAGAGAGAGGGAGGGAGTGAAGGATGGAGAGAGAGTGGGAGGAACGACTTTGGCCAGCTGCCTGTACTTCCAGCAACAGACACAAATTAGTCATGTGACTCCAAAGCGGCACCACCATCCTCTTCCTACACTCCTCCTCTCTCCCTCCCTCCCGCCCTCCCCTCTCCGCCCTGTCAGACAAGAAGATGACCCCTCCCCACATTTTGAAGAATCAGGGGGCTCAGTTTAAGATGCCTTGCTTAATGGGTTTTAATGGGATTAAGCCACAAGGCTCAACTACAGACTGGGGGGGGGGGGGCCAGAGCTGTGTGTGAGGCTGAGCGGGTCGGACTCTGCCCTCATCAGCAGTGACTCTCGGCAGCGTGGAAATCGAGTTAAAAAAAAGATAGCGAAGGAGAGATCAGGTGAAGACCGACGGCGCTATTTATAGAAACACAGACCTGACAATCTGTCCATCCTCCCCTATTCTCCCTTCCTCCCCCCCGTCATCTTTCTCTTGTGCTGCTCAATATCCTTCCGAAGGCCCGATCAAAAGCCTCACCCATACTCAAGCGCGTCATCCTGCTGCAGTACTGAAACAACAACCATGAAGCGTGATGCTGTAGTGAGGCTCAATCCCTCCTTCACCCTCATATCAACACAGCAGCAAGGATCTAGAGACCTGAGGGTGCAACACCACTCTGGAGCACCACATGCCAGCTCACGGCTGTGGGTTCATCTCTCAGGATGACAGAAGGATGTGTGTGAGGTCAGCAGGTGTAGGTCGGTGAAAACGTCTTATTGAACGTGGCTGTTCCTCTATGATTCAGGATCAGCCACCCAGCTCCAGCGTCGTCGACTGGGACAGTTGGCCCTCCCTGTGAACAGCCCATTTCATTAATGGGGGCGCTCTTATCTGGTAAAGGTGTGACCCGGAGCAACATCAAAGTGCACTGCCAGGAAGAGCAGCGTGGCCAGCGGTCACTGCATGAGGTAAATGGAAACCTCCTCTGGGGGGGCTCTCGCTGCGACCACACTCAAGCTCAATAAAGAGACACCGACAAGTCCTATGTCCGTCCTTGAGCATGGACACGCGCTCTACAAGCAGACAGCAGCACAACAACGCATGAGCGAGAGCCACTCTGCGTTGTTGTGAGTCGCTGTGCTCCCCTCTGTCCCGTCGTCGTCTGTGATCTGACGTGTCTGTCTCCTTGTGAGCGGCCGCGGCCGAAGAATGAGGCCTTTGTACCCGACATCTCCACCACCATCGCTGCAACCAGAATACGCTTCATTGTCACCAAAGTGGGACAGGCAGAGAGCGGGACTTGACCCCCATTCCTCATCTGGTCCGTCTCACACACATGTTGGACACACGGCCTCTGATATATGGGGAAGGGACAATATTCAAGTCTTATACTACACATAATAATTCAATGAGCTGTGGATGTGTCTCAGTGGAAGGTATGCTGTGGACGGACCGAGCTTCAGAGTTGGCAGGGGATTTGTCGGGATGTTTGCCCTTTTCCGCTCCCGGCTCGCCGCAGTGGCATTAAAGGTGCTGGTTCCACATGCTCAGTGCCCTTGTCTTAGCCTCGCTCAATCTGTTGCTGCCTCAATCAGACGCATTGTCCAACATTTCTGGTAGGCTAAAATCAGTTACGTCCTTCATTTTCTTTGTTTCGTAAAACAAATACTTCTTTTACAAATTGGAAGTCCCAGTGGATTCCTCAGCCAGAGGCTTACCCTAACAGGGAACACCTCCTATAGTCATTAATTTCATTGGCCGCCATGAAATACCACTTGCTGTGGTCCAGCCTGGTAGGAGTTAACATGAAGGGATTCAGGTCATCTGGTGAAGAGGCCAAAGGAAACAGCCTTTACAGCAACTAGCAGACTCAGCAGCCAGCACAGTTTGCCCCCTTTCTACACCTTCTTTCCATCAATAGTTTACTAATAGATTGGATGGTGATAAAATAATTCAACATTTTATTCATTTTTCACTCTATTTACAATGTGTTTTTGATATTTTCAGAGGTTCATAAATGGTACAAATGCCCGACCACTTTGCTCTGCTGCCTCGGGGCGACTGGTTGCCCCGTCGCTCAGAGGTCCATACGGCCGATCGCCCCGGTCGCGGCTGTTTTCTGTCCTGGCCCCACAGTGGTGGAATGAACACCCCACTGATGTCAGGACAGCGGAGTCGCTGCCCATCTTTCGGCAGAGGCTCAAAACTCACCTCTTCAAGAAGGCCTACCCTTAGCCTTCCACTTAGCACTTACTTCGCATCTATTGTATTCATACTAATTGCACTTATTGTTTTCATATTAGTTTGTGGCACTTATTGCATTTGTTTATTTCTGCACTGTATGTTGGCTCTGGTTTATGCTCTTAGATGCTTGTTTGAAGAAAGGAGATGCACTTATGACTTCTGGTGACTAGTTGTTCTCTTGAAAACCTATGTTGAATACACTTATTGTAAGTCGCTTTGGATAAAAGCGTCTGCTAAATGACTAATGTAATGTACAAGTGGCCCAGTGTGTGAAAGGATGGCCCCCTCCACCAGCCAAACTAGTTTCTATATGCATGCTGGGTGCCTGCTGGGTTAATTGAACAAGCTAACAGTAAATGATCCACGCAGCAGCCTGACAATACAATAGGTGTAAGAGTGGGACCTGAAAATGTCTGGTTGTAACTTATCGAGGTGGTGAGGACAGGGGTCGATGAATGAGCTCTGTTTGGTGAAGAACAGCAGCAGCATGACAAGTGCTCTGCTTTAGCAAACTCCCACAGAGCCTGTTAAGCTACTCATGCTGTGCATGGTTTAAAAAGGCTAATACAAGCGTGGAGCTCTATGAACAGTCCCAATCAGGACAAAGGCAGCTTCTGGTCCGACTGTAGAGTCTACTCTACACAGATCTCTGGGTGAGGGCCGCGCTGCACTGGAGTCTCTGGGGTTAGTTGTTCTCGATCAGATGATCATGTGATCAGATGCAGTCCCAGAGGACAGCTGTTTGTTCACCCCGACACACACAGTGACTGCTGATTGGATCGATAGCATGTGTTCTACTGTTGTTATGCTGAGCGGCTCAAAGCAAAGGTTGGCTCGCATCACGTGTGGGCGGGCTGTTAGCGTTAAGCATTCACAAAGGGCTTGAGAACAACATGCCTGCATGGCACCCGAGCATTAGCCCACTGACACAGCTCGGGAGGCAAACATTAGTCAACACGCAGCCACGTTAGCCGTGCTAGCAACCTGCATAGCACCGAGATTAGCCTGGTTTGTGATCGTCAATTCTGTGACTCAGTACAAAGAGAGCTCTTTAGCTTGTTAGCTTAGCCACTAACGATTAACATTACATTGGGACATGCCAGTGGGGGTGCGGCTGGCTATTTTGGGCAGTATTTTTTTTGAGGTATTGGAGGCATCTGCCAAGCATTAGGGCACAGGGGAGGGGCAGGGGGCAGGCACGACGTACAGAGAGGGTGGGAGGAGGAGGAGGAGGCAGAGCAGAAACACAGTGACCGGAGTCCCTGGAGGCTGAAATGAAACATTTCCTCTGTCTCCTTGAGGAATGGAGGAGAGGAAGGAAGCGAGGAGTGAGAGGCGACGTGAAGAATACATCCTCCAGTGGTGGAGAAAAGGGTGTTTTATGTGGCGACGTGGAATCTCAAGGCCATTTTTAAGTAGAGAAGCAGGAGACCAAGATTTTACAGCCTTTAAGTATACGTCTGTTTAACTGCTACGATGTGCAGTGATGTGACACATGTTTTCTTTTGTCCCAGCACAGACTGGAACATGCACAGATGTTGATGTTGACTATTCATGCACAAACATGTGCAATTCAAAACGGCTGTTATTCTGACAGCAGCGCTGTTTAGTGACACAGAGTGCCCAAATGGTATCGGTGTCAGTGCGTGTGTCTAAATCTGTCAGACACAGTAAAGAAAAGGTATGTCCCGATCAAAAACTTCAACAGATGGGTCCGCCGCGGACATTCAAACACATTGTGGTCACCACTGTTCATCACACACTGACACTTGGTCACGGTGCATTCACTGACCACAGCTCCGTGGAGCAGGTCGCTTCCATCCAGCTCTTATCAGGTCCAGAGCCGGTGGATGGATGAGTGGTCCGGGTGAGGCGGGCTGTGTGGTGTCAGGGTCAGGCGGGTCAGCTCAGTGGTCAGCTGATACGAGGGATTGTCAGCTGTTAGTGCATGACTGAGTATGTATCTAACTATAAAGCGAGAAATCTGTGAGTGTGTGTGTGTGTGTGTGTGTGTGCAGCACCCACGAGGAGCACGGGGCTATACAGCTAATTTGGCTTAGTGGTCAAACGATGGAATCACAACGAACCAACAGGTCCATGACAACTAACATGTTGCCATGGTTTCCCATAGACTTACATTGGTACTGAGAGGTCTATGAATCAGTCTGCCATTTATATTATTGCTTTAAAGCTTCATAAATAACGTTGTTTATTTTGGTCTATTCATTGTGTATTTCTGCACAGTTGCAGATAAATGTAAAGAAAATGAGGTACCGCTCAGTGGCTCTTGCATACTAAAATTGCTCAATCTGCTAAAAATCTGCTTGGAGAGGTAGGACAATGATGTCTAGTAGTATTACTACAATTAGATTTGTTTGTGGACAGTAACAAACTACATTATTTTGTAAACACATAGTATAACTCTAAATTGTGAAAGAAGAAGGCAATGGATTTCCTCATTAAGCGTATATGAGTGGGTTGTCAGATAATAGGCTAATCAATGTGTGTAGCCAACTGGCTGCAAGTTAATGACTCTCAATGACCCCCTGCTGGGCTAGCCTGCAACACCAGGAAATACACACTCC